CAATTTTGCAGATCTTATTTCAGGAGATAGTGAATATTAAATTTATTCAGAAGTACACAGGTACTTATTTGGATAACATTAAATTTATAAATGATTTTCTTTGCCCAGATGTGAGGTGCCAAATTGTGATGACAACAGTACCAATTATATGGAGATCTTCACAGAGTGGGCCATCCCAGAGGGTGACCAGTGTCATGTCTGGACAATTAAGAACAACATTACTGACCAATGTCAGCCAGATGTATTTTCTAACACAACTACATCTTGCTCACAGTGGGTTTATGACACATCATTGTTCTCTGCAACTACTGTCACTCAGGTTTGTGACCATGTATGCTATATTTGTTTATTCATTTTAATGCAATTTACTGTTATTATTATATATGTACATATTTCGTTGAATTTTATCGCGCATTAAGAATCGATTAAGTAAAGGTAACCTCGGCTAACTACTGAAGGTCCCCAGTTTGAACCTCGAGTGAGTGGAAACATAGCATCTGTTTCCTTACAGTTACTGCTCCTAGATACCCATCAGAAAACAGGTACTTGAGTCTAGCAGGAAAAGATCTCGATCTGTGAAGATCTGTAAGTTGTCAATTTTATATTGCCATGTAAACATGAGCAATATATATTGCAATGTAAACATCTTCAGTACAAACTGTTATGAAAACGTGCAATTTATATATTCCAATAGGGAACAAATGAAGGTAAATAACGTGTTAGTACTGTATGTGTATATTATATATATATATATATATATATATATATATATTATATATATATATATATATATATATATATATATATATATATATATATGTCGTGCCGAATATGTAAAACTGGTCAATTAGCAAGAACTCATTTAAAATTAAGTCCTTTCTGAAATTTTCTTTTATACATTTAAAGATATATTTTTTTCATTAATGTTAATGTAAAAAATTTTAATTTTGCACCAAAAGAATCTTTGAAAACTTACCTAACCTTATTATAACAAGAATAATTTATTTTAGCCTAACCCAACTAGATATATTTTAAATTTGTTTACAGTAATTTAATACTAAACAAACACAGTGAAATATATTTTTTTCGTTAGGTTCAGAATGATTTTGGCGAAATTATTGCATACACAAATTTTCACTTGTCTTATATGGCAAGATGAGCGTTGCTATTTAAGCCAAGATCGCAAGTTCTGCCTATTCGGCACGACATATATATATATATAATATATATTATATATATATTTTACTAATATATATATATATATATAATTATATATATATATATATATATATATATAATATATATATATATATATATATATATATATATATATATATATATTATATATATATATATATATATATATTTTATATTGGTCAGGAAGGTTGTGTTGGTTGCCAATATGACGTTTTTCAGAGCATAGTTCTAGCTGCCTAGACAACTTTTGTTCCGAGTAGGGAAATTAGATCAAAGAAAAATGACCCCAAATGTATGAACAATAGTTTAAAAAATCTTTTTGGTCAAAAGAGAGGCATAATGGGTTTTATAAAAAAGGGGGGGAGGGGCGGGTTAAGAAACAATATTTCAATTAAGTAGATAGAAAAAAAGGAATAAGAAAGCAAATAAGGTTTATAGGCTAAGGTTGCAAAGGATTTGAAGACAAACCCCAAAAAGGGTTTTTTTCAATTACAGAAGTAAGTTTGGGAAAAGAGGGCCCCCTTAAAAGGAAAAACGGTCAGATCCGACGTGTAAGGAAAGGGGGAAATTTTAAATTTTCCTCTCATTTTTTTCCCCCGGAATTTACTAGCGTTTTCCCGAAAAAAAATTTATGTAGAACAGGCGGTAAAAAACTATGCAGATTGAGGAACTGTGACATGGTTAGACAAACAGAAAAAACCTAACAAACCCCCAGGCCCGATGAATGTTTGAAGGGGTTTTTTAAAGGGAAATGTAAATGGAATTAGAAAACCTTTGGGGTACAACTGGAATAGTGCCAGACAAGTGAAAGTGGCAAATACAAAAACTATTTACAAGGCGATAACGGTCTTGTTTCGAACTTACCCCATAGGCCCCCCTCCCAGGGGGAAAATTTTTGAAATCATCAATGCCAAAGGCAGTTGTAGCCCTCTTTGTATTTTTTGACTCATTAGAATAAAACTTTTTAAACCCTTTTTAAAACCTTTAAAATGAGTTAAAAAGTATATTTTTATGACGTATTTATGGGGACTTTAGGACGTTAACGGTACATGTTGGTCCTGGAGCCTCGATCCTCCACTTGGTCTGGGCCCAGGTTCCCCCATGATCATCCATTTGGTCCTGGGACCCCCGGGCCACCTTGACCTCCCTTGGTCTGGGACGCGGGACCACCCCTTTATCCCTCCACTTGGTTTTGGGTCAAGGTACCCCCTGACTTCCCCCTTTTTCCTGGGCCCAAATTGCCCCTTGTCACTTCCTTGGTCCTGGGACCCAAAGGACCACCCTGACACTTCATTGGTCCTGGGGCCAAGTTTCCCCTTTATCACTTCCTTGGGCCGGGCCAAGTACCACCATGATCCCTTCACTTGGTCCCGGGAACCAAGTTGCCCTTGATCACTTCATTGGTCCCCGGGCCAGGTACCACCTTGATCCCTCCACTAGGTCCTGGGACCAAGTTGCCACCTTGATCATTTCACTTGGTCCTGGGACCAAGTTGCCACCTTGATCACTTCACTTGGTCCTGGGACCAAGGTACCACCCAGATCACTTCACTTGGTCCTGGGACCAAGGTGTGTTTCATTACACCTGTTGACCGTGTTTACCTAACAGTAAGTAGGTACATGGGTGTTAGTCAACTGTCATGGGTGGCATCCTGTCTGAACAAGAATAACCTAAGTTGCCAGGAATACCAGAGATGTTAGTTAGGTCTGTGAACGTGTAGAAATAAGAATTATTATTATAATTATTAGTTAAAAATGTTCTAAATATATACAGCTGTGCCCTTTTATTTATATCTTAATAACTTGTATTTGCTAGGTTAATATCATTGGCAGCTCTGTAGATTAAGTTTTCTTTTCATTTAGGATGAACCATGTATGTTATTTGGAATTAACGCTTTCATATTCATTATTTCCACAGTATGACTTAACGTGTGAGAAAGCTTGGCTTCGTCCACTTGCTGGTTCAATGTACATGACTGGAATGTTAGTGGGAGCCATTGTTATTGGTGATTTAGCTGATCGCTTCGGAAGGAAAATAGGAATCTTGGTATCAGCACTTCTGCTTGGTACTGGTGGAGTTTTGAGCACTGTGCCCTCTAACTACTACATATTCCTGTTGATGCGTTTCTTCAGCGGTGCTGGAGGTAATGGCCTCCTCCTGGTCACATTTGTCTTGGGTAAGTACTTGCTGTTATTTATGTCCTTCAGCCTCTCCAGAGAACTGTTTCTACATGCTAATTTTATATCTGGAAATTTTTTACCTTCTAGTAATTTATATAAATTTTCAATGTTATTGAATTGCATACTCTCTATAAAATGAAAAATTTTGCTAAATGAACCAAAATAGGATCATTATACTCAGATATATATATAGAAAATCATATTGCATTAGATTTAAATGCGTGTCAATTGCATTAGATTTTAATGCATGTCAATTGCATTAGATTTTAATGCGTGTCTATTGCATTAGATTTTAATGCATGTCAATTGCATTAGATTTTAATGCATGTCAATTGCATTAGATTTTAATGCATGTCAATTGCATTAGATTTTAATGCGTGTCTATTGCATTAGATTTTAATGCATGTCAATTGCATTAGATTTTAATGCGTGTCAATTGCATTAGATTTTAATGCATGTCAATTGCATTAGATTTTAATGCATGTCAATTGCATTAGATTTTAATGCGTGTCTATTGCATTAGATTTTAATGCATGTCAATTGCATTAGATTTTAATGCATGTCAATTGCATTAGATTTTAATGCATGTCAATTGCATTAGATTTTAATGCGTGTCTATTGCATTAGATTTTAATGCATGTCAATTGCATTAGATTTTAATGCGTGTCTATTGCATTAGATTTTAATGCATGTCAATTGCATTAGATTTTAATGCATGTCAATTGCATTAGATTTTAATGCGTGTCAATTGCATTAGATTTTAATGCGTGTCTATTGCCTATGATTTTTAGCTATTTGCCACTAATACAGTCATTTAAAACAATTATTTTTTATTATGATGAGAAATGGCAAACAGTGTTGTGTCTAATTTTGTTGTGACTGTTGTAAAAGGATGTCATCGTGGGTGACACTTTATCATGTTGTAAAAGGATGTCATCGTGGGTGACACCTTATCATGTTGTAAAAGGATGTCATCGTGGGTGACACTTTATCATGCCAACTGTGAAATTCACAAAATTGGGGAAGCAAACAAATTCTTATTTTTTTTTTTGCTTTCTTAAACGCATTATCACTACTTCATCTACTGAAAAAAGTCTGAAATTTGTAAGTCTGACTAATGATGTTGAAATTTGGTAAAAGTCTTGGCAGAACCAGCAGTAATAACCAGCAGTACTTAGGATGTCCAACACTATTTTACTGTCCTTGGAAGCCTAGTAAAGGGTAATGGCACCTACTTAGGCCTCAATAGGTACCACATTGCTCTGGCAGAACTAGCATTTTACTAAGCTAAAACTTTGTACTGGACTATCTGATCAAATAGTACACATAATCTACTGACAAAATCCTTCATTTTTCACTCTATCCTGTCTATGTTAGATATTTTTTTAGCACGCTATTTACATCCCCTTTAATAATTCCTGTTTTCCATATATACACCTCAGTCATATCCCCACTAATTCTAGAGAGTGCAGAGTCAGGGCCTCAGTCTGTCCTCATAGAGAAGATTTCTGATACATGGGATCAACTTTGTCATCCTCCTTTGTACGCTTTCCAGAGCATTTATATCCATTCTGTAATACGGTGACCAAAACTGTGCAGCATAATGTAAATGAGGCCTAACCAAGGATATATAGAGTTGAAGAGCAACCTGAGGACTTCTATTATTTATATTTCTTGCTATGAAGCCAAGGATTCTGTTAGCTTTATTGCGAACACTTATGCACTGTTGTCTTGGTTTCAGATTACTGCTAACCAGAACTCCTAAATCCTTTTCACAATCCGAAATATTAAGATCTACATTATTTAGCTTATATGTGGCATGGTTGTTTTCCCGTCCAAAATTCAGAAATCGTAATGACACGACTGCAAACAAACCATACCACGGGCGGGGATGGAGCCCGCGATCAGAGAGTCTCAAAACTCCAGACCGTCGCGTTAGCCACTGGACCAGCTAGCCACAATAAGATTCAGCCAACTAGGTATATTTCTACACTATAGGAAGGTTAGCATAGGTACCACTGTGACTACAAATGCAAGTTTTTACAGACGAATCTCCAGCTAGCGTGGCCGTGACGAACTCTAGCTCAAGTGTAGAAATATACCTAGTTGGACGAATATTATTGTGGCTAGTTGGTCCAGTGGTTAACGCGACGGTCTACAGTTTTGAGACTCTCTGATCGCGGGTTCTTATCCCCGCCCGTGGTATGGTTTGTTTGCAATCGTGTCATTACGATTTCGTGAGTTATGGAATCAATAATTGCAGAAGTATTTGCTTCCCTGATCTTAGAACTCTTCAGCAATTGACTGTATTATTTGGTTGCAGGTAATGACAGATAAGAGGACTTTTGCACCAATTGCTGATAAACACTTTACGCCATTTAAAAATATACAGTGTCATCATTTTCTTGACCTCATCACCAGAGATCCCAAGTTTTTTTTTTTTATATATTTTCTACTGTTGCCCGTGCTGTGTAGACAGGACAATCAAATCTATGACAATACCACTCTCGTGATCGCACAGAAACAGTTTTATACTAAAGGGATTTCAATTGTATTTTTATGAACTGTTTTAAATATCGTCGTCCCCTGAACAACATCAAAGACCCGTCAGTCACAATATTTTGGGACGGGTAGATATAATTACTAACTTTTTTTAAATACATGAAAACTTCCCAAATGTTGAGCAATATATCATTCTCGTGAGGATTTGCCTTCTCAGAGAAATGCAACACATGCAGAAAGCAACAGGGATAAGTTTCGAAGAATAATGTTACCAAACATTGAAGTACACATGAATCATGTTATTGTCCAGTATTTAGTAATGTTATTCTTATGTACCTGTTGTATGTGCGTAATGGTAAAGAACAGATACATTTCATGCATCTGCAGTCATGCAGGTGCGTAGGAGTCAGCAGCTGCACTACAATGTGATTCTTTTCCAGTTTCATTTTCGGTCTGGTGGTGTTATGGGTGGTGATTGTGGTGCATCTGGTGGTTATAATGGTCGTCGTGACCACCTTCCAAGCTCTTCATGACGACAACTATAGTCATCACTATTAGATAGTTGTGAAGTGCAAGGTAACTGTGTACTGGGTCTAGCACTCTGCACACTTCTCCAACTTTTACATCCCCTTATATTTGTGTGGCAGTATCGCTAGAATCATTGCTCATCTCAAGAGCACGGAAGTCCTGATCACTGATATATTCTCCCTGCTTAGAATTTGGCCAAAATAACGAAAAATTTCCAGTCCCGCTTGCATTATTGTCGGTTCGTTGCTGATTGGAAGACCCAAGAAATGGAAGGCAAGTGGTCATCAACATTTGACTCATTATTATGGACATTTTCAGTGCCACTGTCACCTACATGAGTATTAAACACATAACTCTAAGTACTCATAAGTACCCTCAGTATCGTTTCATTCAAAAAACCTAGTAGGCAGTTAATCTTTGAGTGAACGTTTCACTATGGCTTAACTTGGTAAACAATATAAAGGTTTCTACCAACTCCCATATCGCTCTTCATCCAGTTATCGGGTACAATCAGGTTAAAATGAGCGTAAAGCTTCCAGTTGCACGATATCTATGGTTCACATTTTGTCGATGAAGTGGAAGGACACAGCTGGTTCTACTATTCCTAGAAATCACCAGAATTAGGTGGATCAACATGGTACATCATCAGATCTTGAACACGAAGCAAGACAATGGTAACACTTAAGGTGGCTAGAATGGAATGTGTAATTCGACCTTCTCTTCCTAGGAGAGAGAACCTCATAATTGCAGTCCCTCACTTTCCCCTTAATAACTAATCCGTAAGGTGTGTCTAAGAATTACTCACTGTGCAGTAAAAAATAATTAGGAGCACAGTACTAAGGCTCTGCAGAACCAGTGTGCTCTCATCATTATTTTCAACATACAAAGTACTCTTACAAAGGCACCTTGAGAGTTGGGATAATATGCAGTTGACAGGGTATATGAAATTCTCTTTTGGTAAAAAAAAAAAAGTAGAACCATGCCAGGAATTTATTTTGAAATCAAAATGTAAGAGCATTCCGTAAATATCCTTAGATATACCTTGCCCAGCTCCCTCACTCTTCAAGTACTGGGTTTGGTGTGACCCTCAGAGGAAGTTCGTTAATGCTGGCAAGAAGTTCTTGATCGAAAACATTGGATCTTTTCTTCCCTTCAATAGATTTAAGTTTACAGGGCTACAATTTACATGATATAAACACATTTTGATTCCATATTAAAAATTAATGCTAAAGATGATGTGGGTAATTTTTGTCTAGTAGAAGAATAAATACAATATCAAAAGACCATTGTTTATTTTTAGGTTCTCATCTTTACGTGGACAGCAGCCACGGTTCTGGGGTCTCCTTCGATGTCGGCCATCTTAGCTCTCACTGGGCAGGAAAAGAGAGGGTTACTATAATTATCATACCCTCCAAGCATATTAGAGTATGTCAAGATTATGTTTCTCAACTGTAATTGGGTGATGTCCCGCCCGAGATGGCTTTTATGGTTAGCCCAACTCCTCCAATACTTAATCCTATCAACAGCAGGGTTTCATTAGGCTGATGTTGGGGAAAATAGAAATTGCCTAGCTCATTGTAGCAGGAACCCTGCTACAATGAGCTAGGCAATTGAAGCAAGTATCAATGGTTTGACTGAAGAAATGCTTTTGGACATTCTCTTCTTTCGTCACTTTGGCCTTATTGAACATCTCCTAACTTGATCATCAATTGTCCACATATTCAACTTGTGAACTATAACCATGGATAATGTCCACGGTGAGGAGGATTAATGGCAATACTTCACTCAGCAAAGATAACTATTAGTTAGCACTTCAACACCGTATTTTTGCTTCAGTTCTTCTTAATATTTGTTTGAGCATGAATAAGCAACATGGAAAATACAGAGAATAACTAAGAATTAACGTTTCTACATTGTGTCATCGTTGTTCTGCCACAGTTTACTCACGTGCTCATGCACATAGGAAAGTTATGCATTTCCAGGATCTCTTCCACAGTTCTTACTGGAGATTGTGAACGCACGATCTACACACGGATACGTCCATGAACATTTCTACATTTCAACGTGGTGTGGCCTCACCGGCAACACTTAGTCACTTGCTACATTTTCACTAGTTGAACTCATTCATCGCAGTCGTATTCTAGCACTTGGAGCTCCAGCACATCTAAATATAGTCGCTTTTCTGCTGACATACTTGTAATGTCTATGGACCAAGGTGCTAGCTGATGACTTAGTTGGATAGAGAATGTAAATTCCTTGATTCCAAGGTGATGGTTATTGAGTATAATGCCACTAGGTATGTTATCAGGCTAGGGGCATATTACTATGTATTAATAACTGATCTTACGAAGAGAAGCTTCCTCAGACAAACAAGTGAATGAATTAATTAAACTGCAGGTTCTCTTGCAGGAGAGGAGTGCCAGCTGTATACATGAAAGGATCATATGTCCATTTTATCTACTTTTGATTCTGATCCAATATAGTTGCAATCTAAATCTACATGGCAATGAACACATGTTAAGATATATGGAAATTCTAGTATGGCTTAAAGAAGCTGTGTTGCATGATATTTGAACTCTCTTCATCTCTGCTAATGAAAAGAGGGACGGGTCATGACGCCCTTGTTCCTCACCTGCGACGCCAGTGTGGGAATGTAGAGAGAAGGGGCTTAGCACCCTTGTTACAGATGAATTTCTCCACACATAATGCAATAGTTTAAAATTATTCTGGGCAAAACGTTGCTTTCAGGGAATCATCCAGGTGATTCATAATGCAATGAAATGTTTTAAATGCTTTTTCAAATTCTGATAAATGCAAGCCAGAAATAGTCATCAATACTTTTAATTACATTTTTCTGCATTTTTTCTAGCTGTTGAGCTTATTGGCGCCAAATGGCGCACATTTTGTGGAATCATCACTCATATATCATTTTCACTTGGTGGAGCTATGACTGGAGTGTTGGCTATCTTCATCAGGGACTGGCGTTGGCTACAAGTTGCTGTCACTGCTCCTGCTTTCCTCCTTACATCATATACTTGGTAAGTACAGCTTGTATATGCGAGTTGTAGAAGTCAACTAAAATGCCGGGAACAACGGGCTGGTGACCATTTTTCCCGTATAGCTTACTAAGAAGAAAAAGAAGAAAACCGTCAAAGTGAGATGTTTGAATGTGCGTGGATGTGTGGATGTTGTGCGAATGATAAGAAAGAGATGATTGTGGCTGTTATGAATGAGAAGAAGCTGGATGTCCTGGCTTTAAGTGAAGCAAAGCTGAAGGGGGTGGAAAAGTTTCAGTGGGGAGAAATAAATGGGATTAGGTCAGGGGTTTCAAATAGAGTTAAGCTAAAGAAGGAGCAGCAATAATGTTGAAGGATAAGTTATGGCAGGAAAGAGGGAGCTTAAATGTATAAATTCAAGGATTATATGGAGTAAAATAAGAGTTGGATGTGAAAAGTAGGTTATAGTAAGTGTTTATGCACCTGGAGAAGACAGAAGTGTAGAGGAGAGCGAGAGATTTTGGGATATGTTGATTGAATGCGTCGGGAGTTTTGAACCAAGTGAGAAAGTACTTGTGGATGGGTTCTCAATGCCGAAGTGGGTAAAAATATTGTGGAGGGAGCAGTAGGTAAATTTGGGGTGCCAGGGGTAAATGAATTGAATTGAGCTATGCGTAGAAAGAGGTTCGGTAATAAGTAATACATATTTTATGAAAAAGAGGATAAATAAATATACATGGTATGATATAGCACGTAATGAAAGTAGTTTGTTAGATTATGTATTGGTGGATAAAAGGTTGATGGGCAGGCTCCAGGATGTACACGTTTATAGAGGGGCAACTGATATATTTGATCATTATTTAGTTGTAGCTACAGTTAGAGTAAGTACGAGTAGTGGGGGGGGGGGGTTGAAGAGGATTGGGATAGTTATGAAAATGCCGTATTAAAATGTGAGGAAGAAGTTTGTGGCTATAGGAGAGTAAGTGCAGGAGGAAAGAGGAGTGATTGGTGGAATGATGATAAGAGTGGGAGAGGCACTGGTAAGAAATTTTGAGAAAAAAAATAAAAAAAAAAGGAGTGAGATAAACAGATTAAGAAAGCCTAGGGAACGAATGCATTTGTCAGTTAAAAACAGAGTAGGGGAGTTAGTAGAAAGCGCTTGGAATTTCACTATTCTTTCACAGTGGTTGTTTTCCGTATATATATATATATATATAATATATATATATATATTATATATATATATATATATATATATATATATATATATATATATATATTATATTATATATATATATACATATATATATGTAATTCACAGAACAGGTGAAATATTAAAAAACTAATCTCTGGTCGTAGGAGACTCGAACCTAGTGTGGCTGGGTGGTTTGAGCACTGTATCTTGCCACAAGGTTCTTAGGTTCGACTCTCCTTCGACCAGAGATTAGTGTTTGAATATTTCACCTGTTCTGCGAATTACATATATATATATATATATATATATATATATATATATATATATATATATATATATATATATATATATATATATATATATATATATATGCAAAACAACCACTGTGAAAGAATAGAGAAGTTCCAAGAGCTTTCGTGATTACTCACATCATCAAGGAACAATGAAAGTAAAGCATCAAAGGAAGCTATATAAAGGGTCTGGCCAACACCTCACTATCAGATCCCACAACAATGAAACACCTGACGCGCGACTCATAAGAAAGGGAACACTGCAGCAGGCCCGCCGCCCCAACTAGACAGGTCCTTCACACAACCCACCAACAAACTATTCTACCCAAGAAATAAGAATTTTAAAAATTATTATTTGTCCAATGTATTATTAAATTCTTCCAAAATTCTTTTAATTATAAATGGATCTAATTTATATAAACCAAAGAAAATATTCATATTATTGTCAAAACTGCTTTTTATGAAACAAGATTCAATTATATTCCTGTCGACCATGGACTTGCTTGATACTACTTTCTCAACTTTTTGAAAATCAATTGGATGGTTAAAATCTCTTACATGAATAAATAGAGCATTGGAATCTTGTCCGGTTCCAATGCTATATTTATGTTGTTTTAATCTTAGTTCGAGATGTTTACCAGTTTGACCCTAATAAACTTTATCGCAAATTTTACAAGGAATCTTATAGACACATCCATCAGCATTTTGGGGGGAATTCTTTATCAAAAGTTTTTTTACTGTATCAAGATTTTTGAATACAACTTTAATATTAAAAGTCTTAAGAAGAGAAGGCATATCAACCAAGTTTTCATGGTAAGGGGGAACCAACATATTTTTAGTTGAATAAGGCTGGTTGTCCCTTTTTGGATTGTAAAAAGTATTTCTAGCAACTTTAAAAGATTTATCAATTACATTTCTTGGGTATTTCAGCTACAAAGAAAATTAGACATTTTAATTGAAAATAGTGATTGGACAAAGCATGGTAATAACAATAATATGAATATTTCCTTTGGTTTATATAAATTAGATCCATTTATAATTAAAAGAATTTGGGAAGAATTTAATAATACATTGGACAAATAATAATTTTTAAAATTCTTATTTCTTGGGTAGAATAGTTTGTTGGTGGGTTGTGTGAAGGACCTGTCTAGTTGGGCCGGCGGGCCTGCTGCAGTGTTCCCTTTCTTATGAGTCGCGCATCAGGTGTTTCATTGTTGTGGGATCTGATAGTGAGGTGTTGGCCAGACCCTTTATATACCTTCCTTTGATGCTTTACTTTCATAGTTCCTTGAGTAGTCACGAAACGCTTGGAACTTTTCTATTCTTCCACAGTGGTTGTTTTGCATATTCTGAAATTACCTGTTTTCTGTGATCTTATTGCATATATATATATATATATATATATATATATATATATTATATATATATATATATATATATATATATATATATATATATATATATATATATATATATATATTATATATATATATATATATAACAGCACTGCGACTAGCTGAGAATTCGAGCCTATGACGTTTTGGCCCGCCTCATGGTGAGGGAATATCAAAAATGACTCTCTGAACCACAGGACCATGCAATCCTACAGAGCTACGTGCTTTACCGTGATCCGAGGACATACCGTGATGTGCCTCTGAGCTAATTTAATTCTCATCCCCATTTGGTGTACTAGCTTCATAATTTTTCTGTTGTTAAACTGCACGAAACATTTGTCAGATGAGGTTTGCATTTTGTCCAGATCCCCTTGTAGGCTTACCTGTTCGTCGTCTGCTTGTATTCTCCTCATTAGTATCATATCTTCTGCAAACCTTTGACTTTATCGCTTCCATCATGTCATTTACAGACTTAGGACTGACCCTTGTGGAACCCCACTGAACACATGCACCCACTCTGACACCTAGTCTTGTACACATGTTGTTTCCTTTTTATCTAGTGTTCCCTGATCCACTGCAGTACTTTCCCTTAAATTTCTGCCTGCTCCTCTTGCTTTTCAATTATTTTCTTGTGAGGCAGTGTGTTGAAAGCCTTCTTACATCCCTCTCCTGTGTTACTTCTGTTACCTTGTTATAGAACTCTGAGAGGTTTGTCAAGCAGCACAGGACAGCCGTGCTGGTTGTCCTGTATTATTCCATTCATTGCTAAGTGCTCCGCCACTCTTTTCCTGATAATCTTCTCCATAACTTAACATAAATGCCAGCGACACAGGTCCATAATTTAGTGCAACCCGTCTCCTTTTTAAAACTGGGACTACATTTGCTGTCTTCCACACCTCAGACAGTTGTCGTGTTTCGATATAATTATTGAAGATTGTTGTTAGTGGTACACACAGTACATCTACTCCCTCTCTTAGGACCCAAGGCGAGATATTATCTGGGCCCACTGCCGTCAAGGTGTCTAATTCCCCTAGCAGTACTTCACCTCCTCCTCGGTTATTTGCAGTGTGTCCAGCAGTTGCTGGTCCACTTTTCCACCTCGTTTTGCTGGGAGCCTTTCTGTCTCCACTGTGAATACCTCCTTGAATCTTAAACTGAGTTCTTCACATACTTCCTGGTCGTTCTCTGTGAGCTCCCCTACTTCTTTCGTCAGCCTGATTACCTGATCCTAAGCTGTTGTTTTCCTTCTGATATCGCTGTGTAACGACCTTGGGTTAGATTTGGCTTTTGATGCTAAGTTATTTTCATATTGACGCTGGGCTTCTTTCATTATCCTTGCATATTTCCTCATTTCTGGGTTCTTTGCCTTCCATACTTTTTTTTCCATACTCTACCACACTTTACTTTAGAATTTTCACACCTCCTGATAAACCATTGGCTTACTCTGGTCTTCCTGATGTTTCTGTTGCTCCTTCGTACGAACTTCTCCTCTGGAGAAGTGTAGACCCCTTTTTGGATGTTTGGCTTCTCCCGTCCTCCTCGTGCTGCTTTTATCTCCATTGTTATCTAAAGTATGTATTCAATACGCAACACCACATGGTCACTATCGGCTATGGGCATTTCGTGTGTGATATCTTCTATGTCTGAATGCTCAAGGTGAATACAAGGTCTAGCCTTGCTGGTTCATTGTCTCCTCTCTCGTTCTCTCTCTCGTTGTATCCTTAACATGTTGATACATGAAGTTTTCCAGTACTGCCTCCAGCATCTTGGCCCTCCACGCCTCTGGTCCCACATGTGGCATCAAATTCTTCCAGTCTGTCTCTTTGTGGTTGAAATCCCCCATGATGAGTAACTATGCCCTGCTCATGTGAGTCCTTCTGGCAATCTCGGTTAGTGTGTCCAACCTCACTCTGTTTTTCTCATCGTATTTTTGTCTTGGCCTCCTGTTCGGTTGCATGTTTTACGTAACTGCTATTATCACTTTTTTGTCCCTCAGTATGAAGTGTTCCTACAATGTAGTCATCTGCTACTCCTCTGACTAGTCCTCCCATCTCCTCAAAACTCCATTGGTTTTTGATGTGCAGTGCAACTCCTCCTTCCCCTCGACTCCTGTCTTTCCCCAACATCTGATAACTAGACAGAAAGATCGCGTCTTTTGTCACTTCCGTGATTGCTACGATGTGTGTGTGTGTGTGTGTGTGTGTGTGTGTGTGTCAATAACTAAAGTGTAATGAACATTTATTAATACTCAACAATAACTCAGAGATGGAAAATCGGAAGATTAATTGGTGTGTATATTTTGTTTACCTTCTGGGATCGTGAAAATGAATATATGTAGGGAAGGTTGTGTCTCATCCCGTACAAAGGACTGGCATGTGGGCAGATGTGTCAAGTAGTTAATGGGTGACACGACAGATTCTGCAAATTTGTGTAGGAAGTTCCTTAGTGGCATGTGATTCCTCATCTTGTGCTGGCTTTCTATGTTAGGTTGGCCGCTTGTATGTACTTACTGAAAAAGAATTTTGAAATTATGTCTGGTTTCCATTGTCCCTGTGATGTTTTGAAACTGGGAGTGGTAGCTATGAAGGCAGATTCTGTGATTTTCCGTTTGAAGCTGCAGTGTGATTTATGTTTGATGGTGGCAGCTTCTCAATGAATATTGTGACTGTTGATGCTGGCATACTGGAAAATGCCTGAATTATCCTGTGTTTAACGAATTGCACTCTAGTGTTTGATGATCTTCGTAGAAAGCGTTCGGTCTGTCTATCCTGTGCATACTTGGTTGCATCTTTACATGATATATGGTAAACTCCAGGTACGGCTTGCGTAGCTGAGTGTTTGTGCATCTTGGACAGGAAATTCCCTAGTTTGTTAGGATAGAATGTCATGTTGTTCACTCTGTAGAGACGATTGAATGCATCTTAGTGGTAGGGTGCCATGTATTAAGATTTGCAGGATGGAGCTGAGTTTTGGTGAGCTGAGCTTTTGTAATAGTTGAAATTTGTTTTCTTTTCTTCTTGTTTTATAAACCAGTAACGGAATTTTAATTTAGAGAATTGTGTTCTAAGGATTTCTTTTTCTTAGTCTAACTTTGAGGGGGAGGTAATTCTTGATTTCACGTAAAAACAGATTTAAAACTGTGCTCTTCTTAATCTGTGTTGAATGTCTGTTGAAATGAACATGTTGGCAGTGTGAGGGGGGTTACCTATAAACTGAAAACTCAACTTGACCATTAATATTGGTGATAAGAACATCAAGGAATGGAAGGTTATTGTTTGTTTACCATTTAACTTTGAACTGTATAGAGGTAACAAGACAGTTAAGATTCTTAAAGCTGCCCCAATAATCGTCCTATATTGAAAAGGGATCTTCAACGTACCTGGACCAGATCATATCTGGTGGGTTGATACTGGGGAGGATGGTAGTTTCATAGTATTCCAAGTGCAAATTAGCGAGTGGACTTCCCATGCTGCAACTAAATTTCTGTTCGAAGAATTCCTTGTTGAAAGTAACACATAATTTAGAGAAAGCAAAGATTTTATCAATGGAAAGTGGGAACTTCTTTTGATGTAGAAGCAATTTATTGGTGATAAAAATTCAGGACATCATCGACAGGTGCCCAGATGAGCAAGGAGGAGTTCACATCCAAACCTAAAATCCTCTTATTTTGCAGGTTCGTTTCTATTTTTTTTCACTGAATGTATCAAATATGACTGGGAAAACTTGCCGAAGAAAGTAGACAGAAGACTGCTTAGCCATTTAGGTAATATGTACGAAAGAGACACTTTACTACAGATGAATGATCTCAATAATATACCCTACCTCCAGCTTTGTCCTTATTGCAACATACACCACCCATGCTTCACACCCATGTACGAGCGTTGGTTCCACTATTATATCATACTTTCTTCTCTTTGCTGCCGTAGATAATGTTCTTTGCCTCCGCACACTCCTCAGTGCTCCAATGACCTTTTCCATCTCGTCAGTTCTAAGAATCATCTAGTCTTTCATAGACCCATTTGCTAACAAATCCACTTCCAAACATGAAAAAAGTCACTTCTTCCTTACTCCCTCCCTCTGATCTGATATCCAATCTTTCATTATATATATTTTTTCTAATCTTCATCAGCTCACTCTTTCCTAATGTTCACTTTTAATTTTCTGCTGTTACATATCATCCCAAATCGTCCTCTAACCTATGCAACTTCTCTTCAGTATCTCCCAAAAGCACAGCATCATCAACAAAAAACAACTCTGAAAATTCTCGCTTTCAATTATATTTTTTCTTTTAATCTCAAACCTCTTGCCAACACCAGAGCATTCACTTCTCCTACAACCCCTTCCATATATATTATGAACAAGCATGGTGGCAACGAGCATCCCAGCCTAAGTCATTCTTTCACCGAGAAATATTCTCCCTCTCGCCTATAACCCTTACCTGAGCCTCACTATACTCGTGAAAATTCTTAACTACTTTCAGTAACCTTACACCTGTTCCATATATTTGCAATAAATGCCACATTGCTCTCCTATCTACCCTGTCATATACCTTTTGCAAATCCATAAATGCAGTGAAAACCTCTTTACCCTCATCTAAATATTGTTCACACATATACTGCTTGTGGAGGCTAGTACAACTAACGGGGAGTTGAATGAAATTAGCTCAGAGGCACTCACACCACCGTATGTCCTCGGACCAAGGTAAAACACATAGCTCTGCTGTGTGCTTGGTACTTGTAGGATTGCGTGGTCCCGTGGGTTAGAGCATCATGTG